TTTTTGCTCAATAAATTTGGTGGTGGGTTTTGTTTTTTTTTTTTCCTCCCACCATGTTCAGTATTTTTGGTGAAAGTATCTGGCAGTGCTAGATGGGATTTGGGGTGCTGTGCTTGGCCAGATCTCGCCTGCCTGTCATGCAGCCCACCTGCCATCCTGTCCTCCTCAGGATCCTGCCATCTGGCTTCATACACCTGGCAGTCTGGTTAACTGGTTACCAAATAAGCATTCCAGTAAGCATAATGATTACCAGATAACTGGTTAACCTTTTACATCCCTGATCCCAGAGAGCAGGTGGTGTAGGTGGGAGCAAGTGGAGGGTGTGGGAGTGAGATTGGGGGCTGGGATGTGAAGTGCTATAGGCCGTATTGCTGAGGTGTTGTGGGGGCTGCGGTGAGCAGGAAATATCCCAGTGCTGTTGGGATGTCTGTGGAGGCTATCAGTGAGCTAATGGAGAGTTTTTGAAGTCTGAGATCTTTCTGGGATGTGTTATTCATATATTAGCATATTTTCGCTTTCTAAACATCCCTGTGTAGAAATAAAACCAGAAAAGACTGCAGGATTTCTCTATACAAGGATTTTGGCATAGATCAAGTGTAATGCTTCAGGAAGGCAGATAGTAGACATTTTTTTTAAATGCAGTGGGTTGGGTTTTGTGTTGGTTTTTTTTGGTTTAAAGCTAATTGGTGCTGTTTTCTTGTCATATTTTTCTTGATTCTTATAGCAGTCTTTTTAAGTTGCTGTGAAATGAAATTACTTTGTCCAATTTTCAGTGTGAAAAAAGAATTTAAAAGAAGCAATTAAGTTGCTGATATGGAAACTTTTCTTAATTCTTTACATGACATAGTCTGAAAGAAAATAATGTATTACTTAATACGGTTATTTTTAGTTAATCCACTTGAAAAACTCTCATTTTCGGCATATAAATTACATAAAAATCAGTATTTATTAATACAGATGTAATATCTGAACATTGAAGTCTCAATAATCCTTTGAATGGCAAATATTCAAGGTGTAAAAAGCAGCAATTGAAAAATATAAGTGATTTTTATATTTGTGAATAGGATTAATTATTTAATCAGAATTTAGAGACATTACCATCCTCTGACTTACAGTTATTCAAACAGTAAAGATGGTATTAGAGGATAGAAAATGTTCTTACAGAAAACTTTGAACTATTTGCCTTGACAGGTAAATAAGAGAGAACAGGGTCTCTTTTCTTCTTTAATGGAACTCCACTTTATCTGCAATTGGAGATCTGACAAATGGAATGTGGAAGCTGATCTGGTAGAAGATGCTTGTTCGCAAGATGGAAGCCAGAAAAATGTGTAGCTTCTAGAATATCTCCTTCTCTGTATGTAACCTTCATAGATAACATTTTAGCTTTTAACTGTTTCCTTGAGACTGCTTCAGTTATTACTGAGATCAGCTTATTCTCTGCTGAGAATCTAACCTTTCTTTTATAAGAGTTTAACATGTTACCTTGCCATTATATTATACCTATTTCAAGACAATTGTTCATTTGTACTGAAAATGACCACTGTCGTTTTCCACTACTTAGGTTAATTTCTTTCTGTTGTGCTACCAGTCAATCTCTTTGTTTAATGGGCCAGGAATTGGCATCTTTTTCAAACCAAAGAGCCAAACCACATCAAAATTCAGAACACCATGGTCAATGAAGAGCCATATAAGAATGCCCATTTGCATGACTGAAAATAGACAACTTAATATTGATAATTGACATGATTAATAATAGCATAAATGAAACCTTGTACTCACAGAATTTATTTAATGGGACTTCTGCTGCTTCTGAGTGCTCAGTGTGAGGATGTAGGAGTGTGGGAGTCAGGGTTGCAGTGTATGAGGGGCTCAGGGTAGGAGGTTGAGGTGTGTGGGAGGTACAGGAGGCAAGGTAGGGCACTGGGGGTGAGAAGTAAACTGATGTATCGCTCCCTCCCTCCCCCCACATGGGTGGTATATCCCTCCACCCACTCAAACCATGGAAATGATCTAATTTCAGGTACTTTGAAGATGTATAGCTGATAAAGTTCTCAGTTGTCCTTCACCCTTGTCTTAGCCCATAATACTTCCAAACACCAAAAAATTCAATGCCATTAATTACTCCTGTCTTCCAGTCAGTCACACCCTTATCCCTTGTCCTCAATCTCACAGTACTTGATGGGGTTTTCTAAAGTCCGATTTCATGTAACATCCTGAGAATCTCAGGTTTTAGTTTGTAACACAATTAGTTACTAGTTACCATGTTTGTGGATTGAAGCTTGAAAATAGGACTGAAGTATAAAGGCTCAAAAATAAGAAACCAAAAAAACCCCACCCAAAATATATTGTGGGTTTTTTTAAAATCTCTTGATTTTTAAGTCGGTTTTAGGATTTTAATGGGCCAGAGTGTTTTTTTTTTGTTTTTTTTGTTTTGAACATTTGCATTTGACCCTTCTAGAAAAAATACTTATTGAGGGTAGTTCACGGTGAATAAATAGGAGAAGAACTTTTTAATTGTCATCTTGTCTCTTGCAAAGTGTTTTGGTTGGTTGAGAAAAGAGCCAGAAGGGGGACTCGAGCTCTGTTGGTGCATAGGCCTCCTTCACTTTTTACCAGTTTTTTGAATGAACATTGGCTGTGCTAGGTGTGCATATGTAACATATCTGTCTGGTAAATGTAGATATATTTTCTGATGCGCAGTGAGAGGCTCTGATATTCAGGAAGATACTTAAACACATGCCTAACTTCAGACTTAGTGCATGTCCAGTGATATGTGTATTTATAGGATCAGTGTAATAATTATTCCATGAGTACATAATGTAAGTGTTAAAAAGATTTTTACTAATGAATACATAAACAATATTCTCATTAAACATCAATTACAAGTACTTACCAAACTTTCTACTTTGTTGATAAACATATTATCTATTAATTTTTACCATGTAATGATATTCATTCAAAAGGAAGTATTTAGACACTAAAATCAACATGATGATAAAAGATAATAATCCTAACAATCCCTGGGCAATTGTTAAGATCATATTGTGATGAAATACACATTTCTTTGTAATTAGTGTGTAAAATCCTTAATCCATTTAAGTTAATGGGAATGTTTTCATTGATTTGGTATCAAGATTTTGCCCTGTAAGAATAACGTGATTGTCTGTTATGAGAGAGGTATAATGTGTATGATGCCCTTAATTATTCATTTCTCCTCAGTTTAGTACTTGGATCCTGCAAATGATTGTGATAAGTAAAATTGTTGTCACCTACGAACCTTAACAGGTTATGTAGTGAAGTTTTGAAAGTACATTGAGATTTTCCCATATGCTAAGTTTAAAAACCACTCTTAGAATTAATAAACAACTCGAGGTCAATAAAGAACAAATTAGAGCTAATGATAACATAACATGCACTGCTAACTGTATTCTTTTAGCATGGTAATTCAGTGTGCATACTCCAGTCCAAGCAGCATACCTTCGATATTTAAATACGGTCTTAACTTGAACCAGTACTTTAGGCCATGTAAAATTTGATTTTTTTCTTAACTGCATATGCCATATACTTCAGACTATATTTCTAATGTTCCCTGATAGATGAGAGTTGTCAACAAAAATGTTTTAAAGACATACTGAACTGTGCTAAGCAGCAAAATTTTAGCAGTTACATTTATTTTGAAGTATTCGAATGGAAGCAGATATCCTTCTGCTTATGTTTTTATTCTGATGTCAAGGAGTTTTACTATAAGATTCCTATTTTTGGTTTTCCTTGATCTACAGTCTTTTTGTTTGGGAGACAATGTCATTTTTCAGTGTCACGTCACAAATGATTGAGTTTAGGATATTTAAAGCATAAATTATTATATAGAGAGAGGGTTTTCCCAACCCAGCTTTTATTATAGAGGAAAGATTCTTCCTTCTGCTGTTCTACTCTAATATCTCTTCCCCCCCCGCCCCCTTATAAGTAATTTTTAAAATGATTTTTTCATTTGTTGTTTAAATATAAATAATTATGCAGAAATAGGCAGATATTTTCCCATGCTTCTCTTTCTTCTTCCCCCCACATTATAAAAATGTGACGATATACCAAGACAAAGATTAGATTTGGAATAACAACCCATTTGATATTCAGTATCAAAACTGTAAACTCACTCCCTCAGAGCAAATCAAATGAAAAATGACCCATAAAAAGCAGAGGAGAAAATTGTGAATTGTTACAAGAGAGGAAAAAAGTTATTTCCCCTCATTTTTGATATTTTAAAAGAATAAAAGGTGCTGTCCTTGCAGAGTTCTGTGCAGAAATAGAACCATAAAGTGAGGTTTAGCTAGGGTTATTAGTTTTAGATCAGAAGTCACTGAGTGATTATCTTTGATTTCCAGAGTACTTTGTACTAAAATGATTTTATTTCCAAATGATTTTAAATTCACTGTTCTGCATGCTCCCTTGCTAGCAGTTAAGGCACCTCTTAAATGTAGTGTTCTTGGGGACCAGGTTTGCCTAGAAGTTTGCTTTGTGTTTTCATAAGCATTAGTTGTTATCCCAACATGGTACTCATCCTCTTGGTTAAAGATTTGAATTGGATACTTTCCCTTTCTCTGAGGGGGTCGCTAAAGACAGATAGCTTCATATCTCATGCATGCTGGCCAGGTCTCCTTACATCTGAGGACAAAACAGATAATTGCAGGCCATTCTTGAAGACCCACAAATGTTTCTGGGATTACGGGGGTAGGGGTGGGGGAATCACTGCATTAGGCATGAATTCTGCTTGTAGCTTCCTCATATCTTCCCTCCCCTCTCCCCCCAGTCCTACCTCCATCCTCTCAATTCCCTTCAGCCAGTGTTTAGTTACTAATGACATTTCCATGAAAACATCTTTGTTCCTTGGTTCATGTGTTCCTGCTGGTTTTCCTCTTTTGAAGTCAGTCTTATGTTTTTACATCACATTTGATGTATTGATGGCTGTGACATCACAAACACAGGATGTGAGGAGACAACTTGAACTACTAGGGAATAAAGATCTTATTTGCTATTACAATATCCTTTCTAGGGAAGAGAAATAGTGTCAGGTACCAGGGAATGAAATTATGATAAAGCATCAAAACTGTTTAAAAACAGATTATATTTCAATAGGGTTTAATAGGATCTTAGCAACTCTTTGAATAAAAAACTGAACCATAGTTACTGCCATTGGAGAAACTATATTAGATGCTGTTTGCAGAAGAATCCAAATTTATGTGCTTGAAGCTAGCAATATTGTGGTCTCTAGGAAATCATCCTTGTAATGTAAAACAGATGATTCTCTACTGATATTCCTCTGAATTGGTGATCGAAAGCTGGATGTAGGAACAATTTCTTAAAATTTCCTAATTTTCTTAGTAACTCAGAAAAGTGTGTTAGAAACATCACTTTAATGTGGCAAATTCAAACAGGACAGCTTCTTGGCACTTGTCGGTTTTAAAAGATTCGATTAAAGAAGTAAAATATTAAGATCAAATAAACATTGAGAATTTAATTAGTGAAAGCAGCTGGAAGAAACTGTGTATTGTTTTTCTCTACAGCATTTTTGAGTTAAAGCTCAAATTCTGAGAAGAATGTGAGATTTTCACAAGCTCTTTCCATTCATAGATCTTTCAGTGTCATGGCACATTCTGGCTTTTAAATTTCCAGTAACTTTTTTAGATTTTCCAGAGTGCAAACATACACTTCTAAACACGCATCAAGTGAAAAAAACAAACATTAACTTTAAACAGTTGCCAGTTGTTTCACAAAATAGTGTTTTTGGATTAGGGTTTCAGTATTTGAAAAATGATTAGATGTTGGCACAATGTAGTGCACTTTTCCTTTCTCTGACATATGTATTTTTTTTTGTTTAATTTCAGTAATTTAGCAGTGTGTTGGATTCTTTTGCATGCCTCAGGTGGAAGAAAAGCTGAGATGTGCTCCTAGTCTTTGATGTTCCCTTGATGTAATTTTAGTTACATTTGCATTTGTCTTGACAATTGATGTGATTGAAAAATATTTTTTTTTTAGAATTGCCATAAAACTAAATGTGGCTAATTTCTCTGAGCTCGATTCCATGGAGTTAGATCAACGGTTCTCACTTACTTGTGTCCTCCCTCTCCCACATTCTTTGTGTTAGTAATTCAGGCTGCCTTTTCCTCCTCAAGTAATATGCAGCCCCTAGTTCTGAAGGCAGAAGCCCCACCAATAAATGTGGCACAGATGTAAATGTGGCAATGTGAAAAGCGATATTGATAAATTCATCAATATCACTTTTCACAGCAGACTTAGCACCCTGCTGCCACAGTTATTTCTGTGCTGCTGCTGCCATTTCTGTAGGTGAGGGATGGGGGTTATAGAGGACAATTTGAATCCCGACTGCCTGCCTGTGAGAGGATGGTGGTGCAGGGGAAGGAGAGAGTAGGCCTGAGTGGTGGGGTTCCAGCTGTCCCCTTTATCCCTGCCTCTCAGTTGTGCACTCAAAATGCAGGACAATGTAGCACTTTAAAGACTAACAAGATGGTTTATTAGATGATGAGCTTTCGTGGGCCAGACCCACTTCCTCAGATCAAATAGTGGAAGAAAGTAGTCACAACCATATATACCAAAGGATACAATTTTAAAAAATGAACAAATATGAAAAGGACAAATCACATTGCAGAACAGAAGGGGGATGCGGGGGGGTGGGAAGGGGAAGTTGTGCACTGCCCTCCTGCATGGGTCGAGGGAGCCTGGTAGCCCAGCCCTTCCTTTCATTCATATATAGCTGCCAGCTTACCAGTTAGCAGCTCCATTTCCTCCCACAGCAAGCAGCTTCCTGGGGGGCTGAGCAGCCTAGTCTAGGGCCCACCCCCTGCAAGTAACTGTCTTCCCCTTGCAAGGAGCTACCAACCTTTCTGCTCCCCATCTTGTGCTCCCCCTGTACCTCCTGGCGAGAGGGAGGGAGAGGGATTAGCGGGTGGGTGCCACAGTGGCGCACAGCTGAATAAGTGCACGTGATGGCAAAGTGGGTGCACGAGACAATACTCCGCCGATGGATGGGAACTCCTAGTGGGAATACTGCCCCCCATCCTCTCTCTTTCTCTGCTGTGTGGAAACTGAACTCCTTAACTCCATTCATCTTGAAGAAGTGGGTTACACCCACCAAAGCTCATGATACCATCTACATTTTTTGTTAGTCTCTAAGGTGCTGCAAGACTGTTATTTAATTTATAAGTTTCTTGTGCTTTGTGTGTGACTTTAACAGTCATTTTTAGATACTGTATTGGCTCTTTTTGTTGGTTAACTTAACACATGAAAATTTTTGATACTTTGCAAAAAAATTTGTCAGTCTCCTCCTAAGGTTCCTATCTTTCTAGAGCTGTGTTTTCATGGACAAACATAATTTAGTATTTTATTTCTTATTTCTCTTGTATATTTTTATATTTTGTCTCGTTAGCTACCATTTGGCTAGCCAATAAAATACTGACCACGCAAAGAAAAAAAAATTGGTTAGAAGAAGAAAAGGTCAATGTGTGGCATTTCCCAAATGAGTCCAAAGAGGTTTTGTGTGGGATGCTAGCCACTTAAAAATGGCTAAGTTAAACAACAGAATTAGTGATTATTTTCCATAGCTCCCTAGTGTGGGATTAAACGTTAGAGAAGGAAGGTAATTAAATTAATGCTAAATGTGCCTTGTTTGACATGGTCATTTAGTTTCAGACTTAATATTTTGTTGAAGAATAAATGAAGTGCAACTGATACCCAACTCAAAGAACAGAGATTTGGAAAATAACTATTCATTTTGTATTCAAACATTTTATGGTAGTTTTTCTTGTATACAGTACATTTCTAATAATAGCATCTGAAATACTATCTGAGTATAAGATTTTCAGCACATAATATGTATCAAAATCAAAATTTCTCAAGCAGAAAGAGTGAGTTTATTGGCCTTGGGGAACTCTCCATTTATGGCCTTTACTACTTC